TTTGAGCAGTAAGCAGCATGCTTCTTGTGGAAAAATTGCGTCCAATCAGGCAAAGTTACGTAATGCATTTGAGGCCAGAGTGGAAATGAAAAGGGGAGTCACTCTCTTTGACATGTGTTAATGTGGCAGTTACTCATTTTGAAATTGTTATTTTATGGTTAAAAAAGTTATTGAAGTGTAAATCAACAGTGGTCGTGTCTGTTTTTGCTGTTATTAAATATGTAGGTTTTAAATGTGAGTGGGCTTTTTTAAATCCCTTTTTTCTAATGGATAAAAGTCCTTGAGCCCTATGATTTCACAGAGCAGTAATTTACTCAAATGTTAGTCTAACACAAGAAAATTAGTGAGTAAGTGCACTTTCTGGGGACTATTTCAGTTTGATTTATTTATGCAACCAGAAAGGTGTATGTGACATTAAAGCCGTGGCTTTATACAAAGTGCTGAAATAACATATTGTCCTTTTCTTGTGAGCTGGTGGTGGTGGTGGTGGTAGGGGGGCATGTAAATCTATCTCAAAAAGTGTTATAGGAGTCTATGTCTATACACACAATATCTGTTTTAACACAAAGACATGTTGGATTTTTTTTGATAATTCAAAAAATGTGTTCAGAATGATTCTTTTTTACATTTGATTCTTCTCTCGAGAAAGAATTGCGGTTTTGGCTTAGCACGGGCTAAGATGCTAATACAGTGTTCATGAAAAACCTTCTGGCTGCCAGGTGCATGGTAAACTGAGAGGATGGAGGACTCACTGTCCCTCTGATATCTGTGATGTGTGCTGCTGTGCACGTGTGTGGCCTGCTCTTGTTTCTTGTTAAATGATATGGGATAACCATGCATCATCAGCGTTTTTAGAAAAAGCAATCAGACGTCTTAAGACCAAATGATAAAAGCAGCTCGCTGTGTAAGAGTAAGTGCTTGTGTGTGTGTGTTTGCCTCTTTGCATTTGTGTGTTGTTGCGTCTCTAATTATGGATTACAAAAACCCATAATGATTGTGTTACCGTGCTGTGACGCACAAGACTGTTCACTTCACAGGCAATACTTTGTGATAGTTGTGCGTGTGCAATGGACTATTTTTCTGTTTGTGTGTGTGTGTGTGTCTGTGTTAAGGACTCCGACTGATTTGGACGTTGAAAACTCTGAATGAAGGGTTCACATGGCATCAGAGGGTGTGTTCGCCATGTTTGTGGTGTGTGTTTTTGCGACACAGGTGGGGTGAAGGCTACTCACTTCCTCCCAGAGGAAGTCATAAATGCACTCACTTGGCTTTAACTGTGCCTTGTCCCCTCATCTGACGACTGCTTCCTTTGGAGAGAATTAAAAGAGAGAAAACGGAAGAATTATGGCAGAGGCCTTAGCTGCACTCTGTACGCTGCGTTATATTTTTTTACACAAATTACACAAATACCAGCACTGAAGAGTGGACATTTGATGTGAGAGGAAAATATTTAGTGTGGGAGTTTTACAGCAGCAGCATCCAACTGCTCTCATAAGCAAAGATAAAGAGCTTTTACAGTAAAGGGGCGGGGTGGCTGCTCAGGGGGGGCTCAAGAACAGGTCTGGCTTTCTCCCCAGAGGGACTGCACCTGCACTGGGCTACAGAAGGAGGGAGAGTTCCCTGGGACAGTAGAAGAATAGGCAGGCTCTAAAATTGTGTGAGAAGGTTCCAGGGTAAATTAGTAACAAGAAGTAATTGTTTCCTGGAATAATAACATTAAAGTGGTAGTCCTTACTTGTTGCATTCCTCATAATATTGCGGGCATGTCCTGTTGTGTGGGGATGTGTCCTAGAAGGTCCTGGAAGATGATACATGATAGTGATGTAGGAATATGAAAGAGAATATATATTTCTTTTTCACACTTCTTTAGAGTTACCTAGGAGTCTTTGAACCTCAAATGATCAGAAATATTAAATTTTTTTACAGCATATGCCTGCAACAAAGGCCCCAAACAGACAGACTTTGCTTTAAGTGGTCAGAGGCCAAAAGTGAGCCATCACTGTGCTGTTATCCAGTGTGCAGTAGAGTCTGAGCTTGAGGTGACCTGCAGGTGGAGAGGTATAAGCAAGCTTGTATGCATGCATGTATTGTCAAAACACAGTATAATGTTGTAATGTTTGACTTCAGGGTGGGAGCTCAATGAAGGCTCTGATGAGAAGAGATAATAAACAAGTGGCACTGCCTAGATCCACTGGTGTTGAATTGATAAAAGCATGTGGTGAAATCCACAAAACCTTGAATTTAAAAAGCTGTACAGCTTTTGAAACCAGTTCAGTGTGTGCCCATAGATGGAGAACAATGGGAGCCTAAAGCTGCGCCTCACTGAAGAGTAATTAGATCCTTTCTTATACCGAATCATCTCACAGTGCTGCCATTGTACGTTGTCCTTCAGCAACAGGGTTTAATAAAGATAGAAATGAAAGGGGATGTAGGAAAGAGATCCTTGTACTTGTATTATCTATATCGACAGTGTTGGGAAGGTTACTTTTAAAATGTGTTCCACTACAGATTACAGAATACATGCCCCAAAATGTATTTTATAACGTATTCCGTTACGTTACTCAATGAGAGTAACGTATTCTGAATACTTTGGATTACTTAATATATTGTCATGCTTTTTACAACTACATCAATGTATTATTGCTGTGTGATTTATTGAGGGTTACTCGCCATACCAATACCAACTGGATGTTTAAATCTCAATATAAAATGAGTAACAGTAGGGTGGACATTAGGTAAGGCTGCACTTTTTTGCAGCGATCTCGTATAGAAAACTATTCTGCGTGTATATAAAACAGGTCCGTGGCTCCGAACCGAGGTAAACGGACCTCTGACCAATACGTCGGGTTCCGTGTTGGGCTCGTAGCCGAAAACTAGCTTTACTTTGTTGTGTGGGTTAACTTTGCTAGCAAGAGACAGAGAGAGGTGTTGAAAGGCTGCAGTGGTTATTATTATTATATTTACATGCTTCCATCTCCCGTTTCTGGTTGGTGACAGCTCGTACTTTTCTCCTTTTTCTCCCTCCCTCTGTTCCACAGACACATAACGGGTATGGCAGTCCATTCTCCCTGCAGCACGGACTACACTGCCCATGAGGCTACATTCTTTAGGGCGATGCCTGTAACACTCTGCCTATTGCCTTCATGTTAAATCATTTTTAAAAAACATTTCTTCACGTCACTATGAGACGCAAGATTGAGACACGGGCATTTGAGCCTCTTATTGCGTGTTTTGTTTGGGTTTCCACCAGTGTGGAATTACCAAAAATAGAGAGAGCATAGCCTAACATATGAAACAGGAAAAGACCACCGTGTAATCCATTTATTTCAACAACGTAACTGTATTCTGAATATCACCTTTTTAAACGGTAACTGTAACGGAATACAGTTACTCATATTTTGTATTTTAATACGTAACGGCGGTACATGTATCCGTCGCCTGATCTCGACTTCATCTATCTCACTACTACTCATCTCTTCTCAGCGTATTATCTATACATCTATCTATCATGATCTATCATGCTCGTACTAGCACTATCTATCTATCTATCTATCTATCTATCTATCTATCTATCTATCTATCTATCTATCTATCTATCTATCTATCTATCTATCTATCTATCTATCTATCTATCTATCTATCTATCTATCTATCTATCTATCTATCTATCTACATACATACTTGTGTATGTTACTTGTGACTTGTATAAGATTTTGGGCACCTTTGTGCTTTGTTGGCTGGAATAGCTGCCTAAAGTTCTTGTGAGAAACTTAATCCTAACCCTATATTTGAACTTTTGTTAACTATAGGTGACTGACCAAGGGGATACCTGTGTTCTACAAATCAATTTCTCCAAAATGTAATGAAGTAATGTACTTAAAGGGGGTCTGTTGAAGCCTATAACAACACATATGAGCTGTTGGAAATTTATCTAACACATAAGTCATCAGAAGAAAGTGTCATTTCACCCACAATCCCACTTTATATCTCGACAGATGAGGACAAATCCTATAACTATGGCGATCCACTGACATTTCCTGTCACCCTCCTCTTTCATTTAAATTAAACACAAGCAAAAAAAATGTTTGTTTTTTTTAAAAAAGTTTCAATATTACTTGAGCCTGACTCAATAATGTATATTTATTATTTTCTTTGATTTCTTTTTGTACGTTTGAGTGCATATTTTATATTTGTGTGTATATGCATACATACTTATATGGGTGGGGAACCTGTCTATCAGCTAATAAAGACAAAAGTGGCGGGTGCCTCAGGAGATGATGAGATAAGAAAGGCACTGACCCCTGGGATTTCCTGCTGGGACATGAGATGAGCAAGGTCAGGGAGGTACAGGAGGGGTTGGAAAGCTGGGATGTGAGGATGAGAGAGAACAAGGGGTGGGGAAGGGGTACACCGAACATCAAGCTCCAACTCATGAGAACCAGATGAAGGGCAGACTGGATGACTCTCTGGGGCTATGAAGGGAAGAGAGGGGGAAGAAAGAGGCTCATAAAGCTGTCAGAGTCTGCCCGCATCTCTCTATCACGGCTCAGTGTGTGCCAGATGCATTGCTTTTAGTGCTAGTTCTCATGAATGTTTCAATCATAAGCCAACATGTGTATTGAATAGCTATAGATGTGTTTAATTTGGGGCTGACCCCGAGTCTGACAAGCTATGTCATCTCCTCGCTAATAACTGAGGATGATGGATGGTTTAGGAAAAATGAATTGTAGAAAGTCTGAGCGTAAAAGACATTTGTTGTCTTCCTACTTTGCAAGCATATGTTTTGTTTCCCTGGAAGATGCAACTCAATACCACACGAAAAGCTTTTAAGTTTCATAAAAAAAGTCACATTAGCTCTTTGTGTCTGCCTGTAAAAATTTAGTATCACTGCTAAAGGGGAGAATGCAACATAACTCATGTGAATGGGAAACATTCTTTGAATACATACAGCCTCTTTAAAGATACATTTTTCATGTTTTTTTTATGTTTATGTTTTGCAGTGGAGCACGATAAAGAATTCCTACCGGTGCGGCGGCATCATCGAGAGTTCAAATTCGATCTATCACGAATCCCTGAGGGTGAGGCAGTCACTGCTGCCGAATTCCGTATATATAAAGACTTCATCCATGAACGGTATGATAATGAGACCTTCCGTATCAGCATCTACCAGGTGTTGGAGGAACACTCAGACAGGTGAGCATTGGTTTGTGGCTATGTGTTTCAAAAGATTAGTTGGATGCTGAAAAGACAGTTTCAGGGGCTGGACCCCACCTCACTTACTAACCTGCCGGTTGTACATTTATAAGCGTCTTCTCCCTACATGCTAGTATATTCTTGTTTCCTTGCCTCACCTTTTCTTTTCTTTTCTTTTCTTTTTATTAGTTCTCACCTCCTAGTCCATACAAGGGTTACCTACCCAGGCTTTACTGCTATTCTCTGTCATTGTCTCATCATAACTGGGGTGGGGTCCTTGCCAGTGGAAAAAAAACGACATGGCATCATGATATGTTAATATTTAGTTCAAATCGCTCATCTTCCCAAGAACAGACTTTTAGTCTGACGTTATTTCTCAGTAAGAAATGCTTCCTTTTGTTGTAATGTATGTTTCCTGTAGCAAACACTTTGACTGATCTGGAAAAAAAATACAAATAGCAAGAACTATTGCCCTGTCTTATACAAATGTCCCAGTAAGTAACAGCTTAACAGAGGGGTAGGCCCAGAACCTGAAAACAAATTCAATAAATTCAAGGAAGGCTAGTCATCAATCATTTTATGTCATAGATCTATGCTTTTTCTATTGAGACATGTAAAAACTACCTAAAATTTATAAATGAATTAAAGTTTTAACAACTTATCTTGAAGGCTTTGATACACCTACCAGTAGTTATACATGTAACCCTGGAATGGCCCATATCCAGCTATCTTCAGCCCCTCCTAAAGGTTTCTATTATCCAAAGGGAACAACACCGTCATTTATCCCTTTGCCAAAGACAGGCCCAGGTACATGAATGAACCAGAGCTCTGTGACACATTATCTTCCCAGTCAGAAAATAGGTCGGGATACATGAATGGTCACATGAAGAACAAGGGATTTAGTCTCCAATGGTGAAAGGGCAGAAAGGGTCAGAGTTTACTGCTGAACAATAGGACCGACTTGGATATGCACTGTTTCTCTTTTCACACATTCTTGTCCTCTCTCACAGCTGTACTTTTTGCTCCCTTTCTCTCTTTGGCTTTTTGGCTCTCCCACAAAATTCCAGCCAGTGATGGACCGTGTGTAGTGTATGAAAGGACCCGTCGTTTATAAAGCCATTATTGTCAATTAAGAAAATGAAGTGTTCCCCTGGGCCTCACCAGCTGGAGCCCTCCCCGCCTCCGTTGCCTTACTCTCTGTCTTGCTTCATCTCTCTCTTTGGTTGACTCTGTCACACTCCCTCTCTCCCCTCAACAGCTCTGCTTTGGTCACTTAGCTGCACACGCTGCCACCTTGGCTCTACCTTTAAAAAAAAAATAGTGCAAGTCAACATCTAATTTTAAGTGAGTTTTCTTGTCCCTTTCAGGGAGTCAGACCTATTTCTGCTGGACTCGAGAGTGATCTGGGCAGCGGAGGAGGGCTGGTTGGTGTTTGATGTAACAGCCACCAGTAACCACTGGGTCCTGAACCCTGGCAGAAATCTGGGTCTACAGCTGGCTCTGGACAGCACAAATGGTCAGGGCAATGAATGTCACAGAAATACACAGAGTGTGATCAAAATGTTTAGTGACTTGGCCCATAAAGAGCAAAAACCTGTCCAGCTTTAAATTTGGCAGCTTTTTCCTTGTGCGCTTGCACTGCTTCCAGTGCTCCTGCTACATTTGGCTCATTCCCCGGAAGTCCTGTTCTGTTCACTGCGAAACTCAAAATTGCGCAAAGAGCTAATATTGAACTTTTGTGTCATACTGACCCAGTCATTACTGGTAAGGAGACTTCAGTGCCTGGCTATGACTGAGAAACTACACAGCGGTCGAAGGGTTTTTTCAAGACGTTCACAGGATGTCATGAATTAGTTTTCCTGAGTCAGAATCTCAACTCAGAGTTTTACTGTAAAGTCCTGAGGTGACTGAGGAAGAACAAAAACTGCCAATAGTATGAACTGTGGCATGAATCATTATCAGTCACCATAAAATGGAGTGAAAAAGCTGAGTTCAGAAAGAATAGTGTATCTGTTTTAATTTTCTAGAAAGAAAACGAGTTCAAGGGTCACTGATTTAACACAAAGAAAGAGATTCAGTTCAGTGGAAGCCATCAGTCCTGATACGTGCTTGTTCTGACACGTATCAGGACCACTTTAAGTGGTCCACGGGTGTGCCCATAAAAAAACAAATGGGCAGGAAAAAATATTTTGATTGTAACTATATTTACTGTCTGATGGGTATGTGCCAGGTAACTGAGCTAGTGTACTTGTGTAATGTGATTTCCACGGAAATTAATAGCTGTCACTCACAAATTGCTACAGAAAAGGATATGAACAAAGGTACAGAGGCTAGCCAATAAAAAATATATAAAAAATACTAGACTCTGTATATGCAAACTGTAAGATTTGCAAGGGTAAGATGGGTAAGTTTTCATTTATTTGGTCATTAACGCAAATGTCTACTTAGCCAACCACATGGCAGCAACTCAGTGCATTTAGGCATGCATCAGAATTTCCATGGGTCAATGGAAATTCAAATCAAGTATCAGAAGGGAGAAGTAAGGTGATTTAAGTAAGACTTTGAAAATGGCTCGTCATTTGTGCCAGACACGCTGGTGTGAGTGTTTCAGAAACCTTTGAGCTACTGGAATTTTCCGCACAACCACCTCTACAGTTTACAGAGAATGAGAAAATACCTTTTTTATGTCAGATGTCAGAGGTAACAGTAAATAACAGCTCAATACAACCAAAGTATGCAGAAGAACAGCTCTGAACACATAAACACATCAAAATTTGAAGCACATGAACTACTCCAGCAGAAGAGGGTGCACCATAAAATGTCTTCAGAATACAGGTTTCTAATGCAAAAGAGTTTCAGCTATATTTAAGGGTAAACGTTTCAAAATAACAAGCTTGCGTGAATAAACAGCATGAATCACAGTACTGTGCAGATGATTAAGGTAAGATGTTGAACACAAATGAAGGTCGGCATTGTATTGCAACAGACAAAGGCCTCCATCATCGCTGTAAAGGTTACAGTCAGATGATTTCTTCCTTGTGCGTGGAAAGATAAATCAAACCCTGCTTCTCATCATTCATCACCACTATCATCCGCCATACCCTCAGCATCATTAGCAGACATGCGGAAAATACAGTGTGCCAACCAAAGGATAACATCTCAGCAGGAGTTTGTCATCGAGAGCCTTAAATGTTTGTCAGCGAAAAACTTTATCAACAAACAGTCAGCAGGGAGTGTTTGAGAATATCATCCATCAAAGGATGGCAGGATGTTACATGTTAGGCGAGGAAAACAGACACTATGTAGCCTTCGAGGCGTGCAGTGGGTGTGCTGGTGAGGCCATATCTATGAGTGTGTGTTTGTGTGTTGGATCAGGTATGAAGGGGTTATGGATGAGCGTGTACAGACAGGTTCCTGCGACTTCTCGTCGCCAGCAGCGACCAGAAGCCTTGATTTACCACTGAACAGTGATCAGACACACATTCTTCCATGCGGGAACCAGATAGACACTACTGCAGTGCTTGTACACCCGCAAGCACAAACACACCCACGCAAACACAAGAAGGGAGGCTTTGATGTTCAGCGCTGCGTTTGTTCTTGCTATTTCAGAGGTGGAGAAGGGAGAGGAATTCAGAGAAGAAAGTCACATGTGTAAAACCAAATGCAGCGAAAGTGGTTTCAGTAAGAGCAGTTTATATGCAAAATAAAAACTTAAAAACAGCCACACTAAGCAGGGACATATTTATTTAAATTCAGGAGCTCAGCTTTTCTCATTTGCACACTGATCTGTCTGAACACCTGTTCCACTGTCCTCTCTGTCACCCCCTACAGGAGAGAGTATCAGTCCTCGTACGGCAGGCCTGGTTGGTCGCAGTGGGCCTCAGAATAAACAGCCCTTCATGGTGGCCTTCTTCAAAGCCACTGAGGTGCACCTGCGAAGCATCCGCTCAGCTACAGGAGGGGGCAAACAGCGTAACCCCAACCGCTCGAAAGGGGCAAAAAGCCAAGAGGCGCTTAGAGTGGCCAATGTTGCAGGTAAACACAAAATGTGTTTGTGTTTTATAAACATTCAGCTATGATTTACTTTGGCGTGTTGGGATAACCCCCGGATCCATTTGTCTTTTGTATCCTTAGTGAAGAATTCATGGAATGGAAAATAAATAACTGGTACTCTACAGTTTCATAATAAAAGGGCCAACTCATGCAGCATGCTTATTGAGGCCCTAACACACACACAAGCACGTGCATGTACCGAAATGCAAAAGTACATCCCTTTAATGGATGTGATTCCTGCGATGAATATTCAAGGCCTTTGTTTTGAAGGTGTGAGAGGGCTGTGTTTATGTGAAGCACTGAAACATTAGACTGTAATGCCTGAGCTTCAAATATGCCTCTGCTGTCTTTGTTTATTTACACAAGCATTACAGAGTACTTGGGGCCAAGTTCCCTGCATGGAGGTAAGGCAGCACGGGCTTTTATGGAAGAACACATCTGCAGCTTGCTGTGGGGCAACCCGGGCCACGACACATGGGCTAAATGGGCCTGTTTAGAACTCTGAATAGCAGTGGTCTTTAACTAGATGATGAGAACCAGTCGCTCATCATCATTTCCAATGTGAACCGCTTTCAGGAACTAATGCACCGCAGAGCCCCAGAGGTCACCAGGAGAAGCGAGAGATAGCATTTGATCGAAAACAGACTATTCTTTTCAACACATGGACCGAGTAAAAAGGAAAAAAAAAACACATGTTGAAATAAGCGGGAGAAAGGGGAGAGAGAATAAATAAAGTCAAGAGTTGTGAAAATGTGGCTCGGCTACTCTGCGTGCACATCTGCTTCATCCAGTAGAAACTCAAAGCCCGACACAGTGACCTCTGTGCAGCATAGCCCATTCATTTAAGTCAATTAACCAAACTGCTGCTCTAGATGGAGGTGGTTTCTTTTAGTCGTTGTACAAGTGTTGATGTTTTGCATGAGAACATGGTGGCATGTTTAGGTCTGCTCTTTATCATTGCTGCCTAATTGGGGTCTGACGACAGCAAATAGTTACTCGTCTAGCTGAGAAGGATAAAAGCACTTGTGCTGAAGTATAAACTCTCTATTTTTCTTCCTGTTCTATAGAAAACAGCAGTACTGATCAGAAGCAGGCATGCAAGAAGCATGAGCTCTACGTCAGTTTCAGAGACTTGGGGTGGCAGGTACGGAAACCATTCCTCTTTCTTCAGTCGCCAGAATTGCTTGGCCCAACAGAAACCTAAACCAGACACTGCTGTTTGCTGCTCCTATCCCAGAATCTAGATCAGTGACACAATAAAAGCCCAGAAATACCTTTGTTAGATGAAGTTACTGCTTTATTTGTGTTCTCCCAACTCATAGTACAAGATATGGCATAATTAGGCCATATGAAGACAATACTGAAGGGTAACAGAAAACACATTAAACTCCTGTATGCCTTTTATAGAAACAAAGGGTGAAAATATCCAACATATCAAAACAGTATAGCCAAACAAACCTGAATTTCTCCTCCACTCTCAGGACTGGATCATTGCTCCAGAAGGATATGCAGCATACTATTGCGAGGGAGAGTGTGCCTTCCCGTTGAACTCCTACATGAACGCCACAAACCATGCCATTGTGCAAACACTTGTGAGTAACCATAGAACGAGGGGAAAAAATGCAGCAGTCATGTTAAGAGTCTAATCATCTCATCAAATGTCAAGACAATGTAGCCACTGTTGGAACAACTGTGTTTAATTATCCAAAAAGGGCATCATTTTCAGCAGTATCCACGCAAATACCTTTTTTTTTCTTCTTCTTCACAACTTCTTTTCCTCCTCCTCTTCCCAGGTTCATTTCATTAACCCAGAGACAGTTCCTAAACCCTGCTGTGCCCCCACGCAGCTCAATGCCATCTCTGTGCTCTACTTCGACGACAGCTCGAACGTCATTCTCAAGAAATACCGCAACATGGTGGTCAGAGCTTGTGGCTGCCACTAGACCATCACCATCCTCGCATGGACACATGCGTACGCACACACTCTTGGGAAAAAAAGGGCTTCCACCTTGCTGTAATTTAAACATGTTGAGAGTTGGTTACAAAATATACTATGTGCTTCTTCTTTTTTTTTTTGGAAGACTCTCTGTCATTCTCAGATGAACAGATAAACACACACACTCATGTTTGTGCTTTCTACTGTGTATACGATACATTTAAAACAGTGATTGTAATGTATATTCATTCACATCCAACAATCTTTTGTTTATTTCAGTAATTATTCTAATTATTGTAGTTTATACTTTTACTGAGCGAGGGAGGATGAATCTATATTTTTCTTCTATGTACAATACCATGTAAATATTTTGTTTTTTCAAAAACAAAGCAAGTGTATTTATTTTCTGTCACTTGGATTTGTGTTTTTTTTTTCTTCCTTTATGTAAAGCTGCCTACTTCCTTTGTCAGTATGAGTGCACACAAACTCTGAAGAAATGAAAAGAAAACTACTTTTGGCATTAGCATTGAGTTCAAATACGGCACACGGCGCTCTGCCTCAGAAGCATGACACATTTATTTTGTAACAACAATCAGCTGAGCTGTCAGAGAGATGGGGGGAGGAAGAGAGTGGGATCTTTGTATGAAGCATCTTGTTCTGTGTGCTCGACATTTTCAGGTTTATATTTTTCTGCTGTAATACAATCTGTCATATTTAAAAGGTCTATTTATTGAGAGCCGGCTAAGTAACCATGTGCTCCAATGTCTCGACTATGTTTCACTGCTGAACTGGTACAACAATAAACAGGAGAAAAGCAACAAAGCCACTTTGAGATTTATTGTTTAATCTGGACGGAGAGCAGAACTGTGTCCAAGTCTGAGGAGGACACACGCTGGTATTGAACTGTCTTACACGTTCCTGCACAAATATTTGCTCGGATTGTAGCCTCACACTTCACCTGCTGACCTGAGATCTGTAAGAAGTTTTTTCCACATTCAAAAGCAAACTAAGAATTTCTCAGGCTTAGTTACTACGTGTGTGTGGGTTTGCATGCCTGTGTCTGTGGTTTACGTATATGAGGTGGATGTGGGTTGTTTTCTGTCGGCGAGTGTGCGTCGATGCTCCCACATGCATTCAAGTACAAAGCACACTGGGTTTACGTGTAAATATTTTGCAGTGGTTGCTGACAGCGGATTTGGGGAAAATGCAGAACGCTTGTGCGCATCGGTGACAAGCACGCTGCACCGACTTTTACATTTAAACGATGCGATCCGTGACACGAGCTTTTGTTTTCAGATTTCAGATTCAGATTCATTAGGACAGCTGTTCATTTAACTACACAGCAGTTTCTGTTTCCAAAGCATTGGAGCTCTTACAGTATATTGAGAACTTTTACTGAAAGGGCTGATGAAAACAAATAAAGAGTTACGTTATGTGCAATTCCCTGCACACCTGAATGAGTGGAGGAAAATTGTTAAAAACAGCTGAGTTGAACTTCTGCACACTTGGTTAAGTGCTGGGTACTTTAAAGAAGTGTAAGGTGATTGTTATAACCCCAGTAGTAATCTGGCTGGATAACTGTATTATGGGATGGTTGAGGTAGCTTTTGTGTGTTCACATAACTACCTGCTGAAGGCTGGACAGTCTGGAAATTTCAGCTTATAATTCCGATATTTCATCTGTGAGAAATATTCTGTAAAATTGTGAATTTGTGTTGACAAGTAGAAATTCTAAAATTCATAAAGTATGTATAACTACAAATACTAACTTGCTGTGCTGGATTGGCTTCCTCTTGGTGCAATTATCATCAAGGGTCAGTTCCTGCAGAGATGGTCAGAATGAGACAGACTTCTGGCTGTTTTCCTCTCAGACACATACCAGTAAGGAGAGTGTTAGGAGTTATATTATCAGCACAAGTTTGATTAAGATTTACTACATGTTTTTAAAAGCTGCATGCCCTCATATATTGCCAATTGATATCATGTTAATGTCTCCATTTGTCTTGGTGTTACCCCTTTGATGTGGAAATCTGAACAAACACTTAGGTACATCTTGCTAGTTCTGGGTTGGACCCGATTTGACTTTCAGAGTAAGGTGCTGGAAACATTCCGCAGAGATTTTAGTCCATACTGGCATGAAAGCATCTCATATTTGATGCAGATTTAATGTGAATCTCCTGTTCCAGCCTATGCCCAAGGTACTCTATTGACTGGGATCCAGTGGCTGTGGAGGGCTTTTTTTCCAGAGTATCTGTGATCGCATTTTCATGTTTACTAAACCAGTTTGACATAACTGGAGCTTTGTAACTGGAGGCATAATGTGTTCAGCTGGAAGCAGCCATAGGGGTTCATTCTAAAGGTATGGACATGGTCAACAACAATACTCCGGTAGGCTATGTTGTTTAAATGATGCTCACTTGGAAATACGGGTCCACCGTGTGCTAAGAAAATATCCCCTAAGCAATGTTTTTCCCCATCTTCTCAGACAACTAAAATCAGTTTCCTGTTCTTAGCTGCCCAGTGTGATCTTCTGCTGTAGCCCGTCCTCTTCAAAGATTGCCCATCCTCTTCTGATGTATTTTCACACAAAGAACTTTTCGTGACTGGGTATTTTCACATATTTTAAACCATTTTCTGTAACTCCAGGGATGACTGTATTGGGGAAAATCCCAGCAGATCAGCAGTTACTGAAATACTCAAACCAGCCTGTCTGGCACCACCAACAATGCCATAAGACAGGTAACTTACCTTTCTTCCTCATTCTGCTGCTTATTTTGAACTTCAGCTGAACTTAATGCTGAAATGCACTTAGATATTTGTGTTAATGACCAACTGAACATGTATACCTAATGAAGTGGCAGGTAAGTGTTACCCCCCTCCCCTCTGCTATGCTTAGCTTAATAACTGTCAACCAATTTTCAAACTTTCCTGTCTTGCCAGGATCCTGAATTATATATATATTAGTTAATAAACAGCTCATATCATTCCTCGGAAGACATTCTGTGTCAAGGTCACATCATCACATGGTTTCAGAGCCACTTCTACAACACTGCACTTCATATCTGCTCTTACAAAGGGGAAGTATTGTGCTGAACTTTTTTTAACATAAAAATGTGACACTTTTAATCCTGCTTCGCTCCCATATGAACAAATTCTTGTGAATTAAATCTCACCAAGATCATAAGTCCACAAATGATCCACAACAGATTAGATCTTCTTACTGATAGCACTTTAGTGTCTTAGCTCTAGGCATTATAACTGCTTTTCATATACCCATCTTTATAGACCATAGTCATATTAATTTACTATGGCACAATCGTTTGGTTGATCAGGTTCACTCGAAGTTCACGTTGTCGGAACAGGCATTACCCAAGGTTTACAGTGCCCCCTGCTGGGCAAACTAAACAGTGCGTTTGCAAAACGGTGCCAAAAGTCTTCTTTAAAACACCTACGCACCTCACCTTTCATCCAAGTGAACTTTGAATTTTTAGTCTCCGCCCACTCAGTGTCGTTACCCGATGTGAAATAATATCGGTCTTAAGTAAGGAGCATTAAACCCCACATAATAGAGGAGGAGCTTCTGGTGAAAAGAAAAAAAAAATCCTTACGCCCACATGCTTTCATTTTCACAAGAACGTTTCGGTATGACGGGTACAAGTGTTTGTTAGTATCTGTGTGTGTGTGTGTGTGTGTGTGTGTGTGTGTGTGTGTGTGTGCGTGTGCGTGTGTGTGTGTGTGTGTGTGTGGTTATTACTCATGTTGTGAGGACCTAAATCTGTTTATACAGTCACATTGTGGCGACTTTTTATAGGGATAAAAGGAAGGCTTAGAGGTCCGACTGGGCTTCATGGGCGGTTATGAGTAAGGTTGGAGTGTATTTCCAATGTAATGTGTTTCAAAACCATGAAAGACACAGCTGTGTCTGTGTTTATTCCCCATTTAGACTCGGTTCTACACAAGTGCTCATTCAGATTCTCCCAGCTAATTGAACACCTGTAAACTTTTTTTTAGTAGTTTTCTGGTTCTAGTTAGCTGTTTTTACACAATAATGTGTCCTCGGTTGGAGTTTTGTGATCAAATGCATATTTAAATAGTTTATTTTGAACGGTGACTACAAATTGACTTCAAAAGCGGTTTTACATTTTTACAGTTTTACATTTAAGTCTTTTCCTGAATGCCGTCCGCGTGGCACAGTGAATTCACTCTCTTTCATTCACCTTCCTTTGAAACGAATCTACCTTCGTGGCAGCTCTGCAAGCCAGGGGGGAAACCGAAAGTATCAAATGAGTTAAAGCTTTCGCTTTCGCTTCCAAGAGCCCACTTAATTTTAGTTGCGACTTCTTCATTTAAGCTTGCGGTGAGATCTGTTTGTGTTAAATTGATAAACTTTTAGTCTGTTTTTGGTCTATTGTGCCGTACTTAACATCACATAAGAAGCTCGGACGGCAGCGAGATTAAAAAATACTGGTATTTTTCCAGTTTGCAAGGTGGGAACGTGATTAAACTGTGCTGGGTCAACTGTGCACATGTCTCTGACATTTGAAAGTGGAATTTTGTTCTTCTAAGACACAGTATGTTCTGAAGATGGATGACGGGGCTAAGTTGCACCTGAAAGAGTGGCTCATAGTCCAGATAGAGAGTGGGGAATATGAAGGACTTTGCTGGGAGGATGAGAACAAAACTATGTTCAGGATACCGTGGAAGCACGCAGCCAAGAAGGACTACAAACAGACGGAAGATGCGGCGTTGTTCAAGGTCAACATTTTCTAAACTTTTATTTTCCAAAAATGTAAACGTAAAATTTGCCGAAAATACTGTTTGGGGGTGTTTTAAACTGCATAAATAATCGGATCCCAATTTGCCATTGCGTTGAAGTAATTTGGACGATACCCTTATTTCCTGCACTGGTTTATGTGCATTTAAGTAAGAACTTAAACCATAGCAGATGCAAAGGAAATGAGAAAAGATTCATTTCACTGAACATTAGAAGTGGAGGGTGTTTATTTTCGCCAGATTGTTGGACGGTTGCAGATGGTCGCATTAATGAACTGCAAGTCTTTGTTAGGAAGTGTTTTTTTTAAATTATTATTTTTTTTTTTTATTTAACTTTAACTATGTGAGAGAAAAAAATTAGTCTACTG